GCGAATTTGAAAGCATCTTGGACTCTCTTGGGTCGTCTTGGAGGCTATCTTGGACCATTTTGGGCGAACTTGGAGGCCGTCTTGACCGTCTTGGAGGCTATCTTGGGCGACTTCGGTGACTTTTTGCAGACGTTGTGCTCGTTTGCAGTCCCTTCCGGGTGGCCGGCGGGACGGGCCGAAGACCCAAGGGAGAGCTTTTTTGGAAAAGGAGCCAAAACCAAACCAGTAGGATCTAGCACGCCGGGCGCACTTGTGACAAGACCACAGGGGGCGGCGGATCGAATAGCCTTCGGCCCATTCCGCCACCGCGCCTGGGTTGTGGGTCAGCGGCCTCGTGGATGCTTCTTGGGGTCTCGGAGGCCTCTCGGGGATGCTGGGGCGGTTTTGAGGCCTCCTGGGAGCCTCGTGGGAGCTTCTTGGGAGCCTCTTGGGATTTCCTGGGGGCCTCTTGGGGGCTTCTTGGGGCCTCCTGGGGGAGTCTTGGGGGCCAGCTTCTCGGGACGGTGAGCTCGAAATGTTGGTTCGTGTTCCCTTTCTGGGGCTCCTGTTGGGGCCGTCTTGAGGCCCTCTTGGGCCGTCTTGGTGGCGAGCCGAAAAGGCAGAAACGCGATCATTTTCAACCTTCCATGGAAATTCAGTGAACGCCTCCTGCGGCCCTTCTGGGAGTGCTCTTGGAAGCATCTTGGGGCGTCTTGGAGGCGTCTTGGGCCGTCTGGAGACCTGGAGACCAGCTTGGGCGTCTTGCAGCGATCTTTCGGCGAGTCTGAGCCCTCTTGGACTGTCTGGGCGGCGGCCTCCTGGGGCTTTCTTGGCCCGTTTTGGGGCCCTTGCGCGTTTCGTGGCCCCCTAGGGAGCTCCACCGAAGGCCCCACTGGCTGTGATTACATGCGTCTCGCGCCACCCATTACGGCGTTTCGTGGCCCCGTAGGGTGCTCCACCCAGTATGGCGTTTCGTTGCCCCATTGGAAGCTCCACCGAAGCCCCCACTGGCTGAGATCACATCCCAGAACGGCGACGGCGTTTCGCGGCCCCATAGGGAGCTGCACCAAAGGTCCCACTGGCTGTGATCACATGCGTCCCGTGCCAACCAGCACGGCGTTTCGTGGCCACATAGGGAACTGCACCGAAGGCCCCAGTGGCTGTGTTCACATGTATCCAGCGCCACCCAGTACGGCGTTTCGTGGCCCCATGGGGAGCTCCACCGAAGGCCCCACTGGCTGTGATCACAAGCGTCTCCCGTTTCGTGGCCCCAGGGAGTTCCAACGAAGGCCCCAATGGGGACATTCGCATGCGTCCCCCCGCCCATTTTGGCATATCCCTGGCGCGTTTCGTGGCCCCATGGGGAGCTCCGCCGAAGGCCCTAGTGGCGAGGTTCGCATGGCGGCCCCGCTCCATTTTGGCATACCCCTCACGTTTCGTGGCCGCATATGGAGCGCCACCGATGGCCCCAATGGCTGCGGCCGCATGTGTCCCCGCCCCATTTCAGCACACCCTTGAAACGCTTCGTAGCCTCAGAAAGAGATCCACCGAAGGCGATGCCCACAATGGCGATATTCACAACTGCATATGGTTGGGCCCTTCGCCAGGATGATTTAAGCCATCTGGGATATCTTCATCTTGTAGGTCTTGAGCTGTCTGAGGCCATCTTGGGCCATCTTAGGCGCTCTCATCACTTGCCGCCCCACCCGTCCAGACACAGGGGGAGGGGTTGAGGGGAGGGGTCAAGACGCCCTCCCCACCCGCAAGCCGTCTCGCTCACTCGCACCCGCCCTCCCAACACAGAAGTAGCACCCGAGCCGCAGCGTGTTCAGCGGCAGTCATTGGATGGACAGCTAATGGGAACCAAACAGACCATATGTGCGCAACGCCGGGGTGAGGTGCGCCAGCCGCGCTAGGCGCGCCACGCGCGCCAGGTGCGCCAAGCACACCTGTGGTCGAAGCGTATCGGGCACGCCTGGCGCGCCAGATGCGTGCGCCACGTGATCCACGTGCGCCATGTGTGCCGCATGCTCCTGCCGCGCCAGGTGCACCACGTTCGGGGCACGTGCAGAGTGTGCCAGGAGCGCTTGCGCACATGGCAATACACGTCGAGAAACGTGTCGGCCCCCACCACCCTTGTCGAAAACCAGTACGCAATCGCGGCGGGGTGGCCATCATAGCGTCTGGTGGGCCTCAACACAGCAGGCAATATGCCGGCACTTCCGCCGTCCCAGTCAAAACCAGTGCACCATGATCGCGGGGTGCCCGCGCATGATCCAGATTTTGTCTCAAAGTGCGTTTTGTATCGAAGACGCCCACTTAATTACGGCGAGTCACCGCATTTTGGAATCGCCCATGCGGCCGAACGTCGTGGCCAGAGCTCTGCCAAGCTATCCGACCATGTGCTTCCCCGGCCGTTGTGGAAACTCTTCGGGAAACGCGCGGGGGAGAAAGAAGAAGCGGAGGAGATGGAGGACACGGCGAGTCACCGCATTTTGGAATCGCCCATGCGGCCGAACGTCGTGGCCAGAGCTCTGCCAAGCTATCCGACCATGTGCTTCCCCGGCCGTTGTGGAAACTCTTCGGGAAACGCGCGGGGGAGAAAGAAGAAGCGGAGGAGATGGAGGACACAGAGATGATGATGATGATGATGATGATGATGATGATGATGATGATGATGATGATGATGATGATGATGATGATGATGATGGTGGTGGTGGTGGTGGTGGTGGTGGTGGTGTTGGTGGTGGTGGTGGTGGTGATGATGATGATGATGCTGATGATGATGATGCTGCTGATGATGATGCTGATGATGCTGATGATGCTGCTGATGATGATGATGACGGTGATGATGATGATTATGATGCTGATGCTGATTATGATGATGCTGCTGTTGATGATAATGATGCTGCTGACGATGATGACGATGTCGATGATGCTGCTGATGATGACGATGATTATTATGATGATGCTGATTATGCGGATGATGATATGATGCTGGTGGTGGTGATGATGATGATGCTGATGCTGATGCTGATGCTGCTGCTGCTGATGATGATGATGATGATGATGCAGTTGATGCTGATTTTGATGCTGATGCTGCTGCTGATGATGATGAGGATGATGATGATTATGGTTATGATTATGATGATGCTGATAATGCTGCTACTGATGATGATGCTGCTGCTGATGATGATGATGATGTGATGATAATGATGATGATGTTGCCGATGATGATGATGATGATGATGATGATGATGATGATGATGATGATGATGATGATGATGATGATGATGATGATGATGATGATGATGATGATGATGATGATGCTGATGATGATGATGATGATGATGATGGTGATGGCGATGGTGATGATGGTGCTGATGCTGATGGTGATGATGACGATGACGATGAGATGACGACGATGATGATGGTGATGGTGATGGTGATGATGATGATGATGATGATGATGATGATGATGATGATGATGATGATGATGCTGATGATGATGATGATGATGATGATGATGATGATGATGAGGAAGAGGAGGAGGAAGAGGAGGCGCAGGAGGCTGAGGAGGAGGAGGAGGAGAACTCTTGGGGCCTTCTGGGAGTTTCTTGTGGGCCTCTCGGAGGCCTCTTGGAAGCCCCCTTGGGCCTCTTGGGGGCCTTTTGGGGACTCATTGGGGGCCTCTTTGGCCGTCTTAGGGCGTTCCTGACCTGTCTGACGCCGTCGAAAGCCGTCGTGGGGGCCTCTCTGGATCGACTTGGGGCCCTCTTGGAGGCTTCTTTGGCTGTTTTGGAGAGTCTTTGGGGCCTCTTGGGCTGTCTTGGAGCGGGGAAAGCCGACAAGGCGAGAACGCCCAAATCCGTCAAAGACCAAAAGGAGAATCCATGATTTGGCCTCTTGGGGCCTCCTTGGGAGGCCTCTTCGAGGCCTCTTGGGGCGTCTTGGAGGCCTCTTGGGCGGTTGTGAGGTTGTCATGGGCGTCTTGAGCCGATCTTTGGGCGTCTCGGGACCCTCTTGGGCCGTCTTGGAGGCCGCTCGGGGCCCTCTTGGCCCGTCTTGGGGTCATCTTGGGCCCCGAACAGTCAGGCGACAAGATGCGCCGGAACCCAGGGGCACGCGCCAAGCCTCAGGAGAATCTGGGATTTGGGATCTGGGCCCCTTGAAGACTCCTCAGTAGTGAGAACTGAGGTTCCAGGGAGTAGACAAATTACCTGAGGACACGCCCACTCCGTGCAGGGAGGCACGGCAGCAGATCTTTATTACCGCTTCGACGTGCATTCAAACTCTTTCAACTCGTATTGGTGCATCGATGAGCTCAAGTTCTACGGACCTGATGGCGGTCTCATCCCCGTCGAACCCAGCCGAGGCGGTGCGCAAACGCAGTACAGTGCAAGCTTCGGAGCAGGTAAAGCATTCGGTGAGCCGGGCTACTATTGTTCGAGAGTGGACAATCCTACGGGATGGATTCAATACAGGTTCGCTACGACAACGTCGGTCTCTGCATATGAAGTGGAATCTGTGAGCAATTATGGGGGCGCGTATAATCCCGTGTCGTGGACATTCCTGGGAAGCGACAACGGTTGGGCTTGGACAACTTTGGATAGCCAGACAGGTCAGTCGTTTTCTGAGGATGGCGAGTCAAAACACTTCGTTGTGGGTGGAACACCGAGCCCGACTCCAGCACCTGCACTACTTCCGACGCCGAGTCCAACTCCCGCGACTTCATCACCAACGCCGAGCCCGACTCCGGTACCTTCACCACTTCCAACGCCGAGTCCAACTCTGGCGACTGCATCACCAACGCCGAGCCCAACTCCAGCGCCTTCACCACTTCCAACGCCGAGTCCCACTCTGGCGACTTCATCACCAATGCCGAGCCCGACTCCAGCACCGTCACCACCTGGACCCTCCTATCTGTATTACCGCTTCGACGTGCATTCAAACTCTTTCAACTCGTATTGGTGCATCGATGAGCTCAAGTTCTACGGACCTGATGGCGGTCTCATCCCCGTCGAACCCAGCCGAGGCGGTGCGCAAACGCAGTACAGTGCAAGCTTCGGAGCAGGTAAAGCATTCGGTGAGCCGGGCTACTATTGTTCGAGAGTGGACAATCCTACGGGATGGATTCAATACAGGTTCGCTACGACAACGTCGGTCTCTGCATATGAAGTGGAATCTGTGAGCAATTATGGGGGCGCGTATAATCCCGTGTCGTGGACATTCCTTGGGAGCGACAACGGTTGGGCTTGGACAACTTTGGATAGCCAGACAGGTCAGTCGTTTTATGAGGATGGCGAGTCAAAGCACTTCGTTGTGGGTGGAACACCGAGCCCGACTCCAGTACCTTCACTACTTCCAACGCCGAGTCCAACTCCCGCGACTTCATCACCAACGCCGAGCCCGACTCCGGCACCTTCACCATTTCCAACATTTGCTCCGATCCCAGAACCGACTCCGGCTCCAACGCCAGGTCCACCATCAATGACGGCGCCAGTATCGACTATCTTGACGTCACCAGTAGCAGCAGGAGAGACTGAGTTGCCGGTAGAGTCCACGGTGGGTTTCGGCGTCGGCAACATAATTTCGATTCAGGGCGGAGGCAATATCGAGACGGGAATCATTGCAAGTATCGGGTCGATTGTGTTGACCATTGGCTTGGCACACAGCTACCCGGCTAACTCCACCGTAAGTTCAGCTCTGGAGACTTCATCACCAATGCTGAGCCCGACCCCAGCACCTTCACCAAGTGGATTTTCCTATCTAGTGGCCTTGGGCTCATTTCGCCACTGTGCCTGGGTTGTGGGTCAGCGGCCTCGTGGATGCTTCTTGGGGTCTCCTCGGGGGGCTCTCGGGGATGCTTGGGCGGTTTTGAGGCCTCCTGGCAGCCTTGTGGGAGCTTCTTGGGTGCCTCTTAGGGGTTTCCTGGGGGCCTCTTGGGGGCTTCTTGGGGCCTCCTGGGGGATTCTTGGGGGCCGGCCTCTCTTGGGGCCTCCCGAAGGCCTCTCGGGGAGGTGAGCTCGAACTGTCGGTTTGTGTTCCCTCTCTGCATGCGTTCCGTGCCACCCAGTACGGCGTTTCGGTGGAAGCTGCACCAAATGCCCCAGTGACTGTGTTCACATGCGTTCCACGCCACCCAGTACAGCGTTTCGCGGCCCCATTGGAAGCTGCACCGAATGCCCCAGTGGCTGTGTGCACACGGCGTTTCGTGGCCCCATAAGGAGCTGCACCCAAGTTCCCACTGACTGTGATCACATGCGTCCCGCGCCACCCAGCATGACGTTGTGTGGCCCCATAGGGAACTGCACCGAAGGCCCCAGTGGCTGTGTTCACATGCGCCCTGCGCCACCCAGTACGGCGTTTCGTGGCCCCATCGGGAGCTCCACTGAAGGCCCCACTGGCTGGGATCACATGCGTCCCCTTCGTGGCCCCAGGGAGCTCCGCCGAAGGCCCCAGTGGCGATGTTCGCATGCGCCCCCCCGCCCATTTCGGCATACCCCTCACGCGTTTCGTGGCTCCATAGAAAGCTCCACCGAATGCCGCCGAAATCCGCAGTGGCGAGGTTCGCATGGCGGCCCCGCTCCATTTCGGCACACCCCTTACACGTTTCGTGGCCCCATATGGAGCGCCACCGAAGACCCCAATGGCTGCGGCCGCATGCGTCCCCGCCCCATTTCGGCACGCCCTTGAAACGCTTCTGTATGTAGCCTCAGCAAGAGATCCACCGAAGGCGATGCCCACACTGGCGATATCCACAACTGCATACGGTTGGGCCCTTCGCCAGGATGATTTAGGCCATCTGGGATATCTTGAGACATCTTGTAGGTCTTCAGCTCTCTGAGGCCATCTTGAGCTATCTTTGGCGCTCTCACCGCTCGCCGCCCCACCCGTCCAGACACCGGGGGATGGGGTGGGGGGAGGGGTCAAGTTACCCCCTCCCCGCCCGCAAGCCGTCTCGCTCACTCCCACCCGCCCTCCCAACACATACGTAGCACCCGAGTCTGGCCCGAGCCTCAGCATATTCAGCAGTCGTCTTTGGATGGGCAGCTACTGGGGGCCAATCCGCCGCCGCCGCCGCCGCCGCCGCCGCCGCTGCCCGCCGCCCCCGCCGCCCGCCGCGCCGCCGCCGCCGCCGCCGCCGCCGCCGCCGCCGCCGCCGCCGCCGCCTGCCGCCGCGCCGCCGCCGCCGCCGCCGCCGCCGCCGCCGCCGCCGCCTAACCGCCGCCGCCGCCGCAGCCGCTGCCGCCACCGCCGCCGCCGCCGCCGCCGCCGCCGCGCCGCCGCCGCCGCCGCCGCCGCCGCCCCCCCGCCGCCGCCGCCGCCGCCGCAGCCGCCGCAGCCGCCGCCGCCGCCGCCACAGCCGCCGCCGCCGCCGCCGCCGCCAAGTGTACTCCGTATTGTTTTTCGACAGGGATGGTGGGGTGGGGGGCCGCATCGGGTTGGCTGCGCATGTTCCGAATTTGGAGGCAAAGTGTGTTTTGTATGGTTTTTTACAAGGGATGGTGGGGGGGTGTCGACATGGACTCGGGTTGGCCCCCAGTCGCCTGGGGGAGGGGGCGTTTATTAATAGGGAACAGTGATCAAGACACCCGCAAACCGTCTTGCTCACTCGCACCCGCCCCCCCAACACAGAAGTAGCACCCGAGCCGCAGCGCGTTCAGCGGCAGTCTTTGGATGGACAGCTAGTCAATGGGAACCAAAATAGTCCATATGTGCGCAACGCCGCGGCGAGGTGCGCCAGGCGTGCTAGGCGCGCTACGCGCGCCAGGTGCGCCAAGCACACATGTGGCCGAAGCGAGCCAGGCACGCCTGGTGCGCCAGATGCGTGCGCCACGTGATCCACGTGCGCCATGTGTGCCGCAAGCTCCAGCCGCGCCAGGTGCACCACGTACGGGGCACGCGCAGAGTGGGCCAGGTGTGCCTGCGCGCGTGGCAGCACACGTCGAGAAACGTGTCGGCCCCCATCCTTGTCGAAAACCAGTGCGCAATCGCGGCGGGGTGGCCATCTTAGCGTCTGGTGGGCCTTACACAGCAGGCAATTTGCCAGCACCCCCGCCGTCCCAGTCAAAAACCAGTGCACAGTGATCGCGAGGTACCCGCGCATGATCCAGATTTTGTTGCACAGTGAATTTTGTATCGAAGACGCCTTCGGCGAATCACTGCCGCCCCCTGCCTTTTGGAATCGCCTATGCGGCCGAACGTCTCGGCCAGAGCTCTGCCCAGCTATCCGACCATGTGTTCCCCCAGCCGTTGTGGAACATCTTCGGGGAACACGCGGAGGAAAAAGAAGAAGCGGAGGCGAGGGATGGCACATGGAGATGATGATGATGATGATGATGATGATGATGATGATGATGATGATGATGATGATGATGATGAAGATGATGATGATGATGATGATGATGCTGATGATGATGATGGTGGTGGTGATGGCGATGGTGATGATGGTGCTGATGCTGATGATGACGATGATGATGATGATGATCATGACGATGACGATGAGATGACGACGATGATGATGGTGGTGATGATGATGATGATGATGATGGTGTTGATGATGATGATGATGTGATGATGATGATGATGATGATGATGATGATGATGATGATGATGATGATGATGATGATGATGATGATGATGATGATGATGATGATGATGATGATGATGATGATGATGATGATGATGATGATGATGATGATGATGATGATGATGATGATGATGATGATGATGATGATGATGATGATGATGATGAGGATGATGATGATGATGATGAGGAGGAGGAGGAGAACTCTTGGGGCCTTCTGGGAGTTTCTTGTGGGCCTCTCGGAGGCCTCTTGGAAGCCCCCTTGGGCCTCTTGGGGGCCTTTTGGGGACTCATTGGGGGCCTCTTTGGCCGTCTTAGGGCGTTCCTGACCTGTCTGACGCCGTCGAAAGCCGTCGTGGGGGCCTCTCTGGATCGACTTGGGGCCCTCTTGGAGGCTTCTTTGGCTGTTTTGGAGAGTCTTTGGGGCCTCTTGGGCTGTCTTGGAGCGGGGAAAGCCGACAAGGCGAGAACGCCCAAATCCGTCAAAGACCAAAAGGAGAATCCATGATTTGGCCTCTTGGGGCCTCCTTGGGAGGCCTCTTCGAGGCCTCTTGGGGCGTCTTGGAGGCCTCTTGGGCCGATGTGTGAGGTTGTCATGGGCGTCTTGAGCCGATCTTTGGGCGTCTCGGGACCCTCTTGGGCCGTCTTGGAGGCCGCTCGGGGCCCTCTTGGCCCGTCTTGGGGTCATCTTGGGCCCCGAACAGTCAGGCGACAAGATGCGCCGGAACCCAGGGGCACGCGCCAAGCCTCAGGAGAATCTGGGATTTGGGATCTGGGCCCCTTGAAGACTCCTCAGTAGTGAGAACTGAGGTTCCAGGGAGTAGACAAATTACCTGAGGACACGCCCACTCCGTGCAGGGAGGCACGGCAGCAGATCTTTATTACCGCTTCGACGTGCATTCAAACTCTTTCAACTCGTATTGGTGCATCGATGAGCTCAAGTTCTACGGACCTGATGGCGGTCTCATCCCCGTCGAACCCAGCCGAGGCGGTGCGCAAACGCAGTACAGTGCAAGCTTCGGAGCAGGTAAAGCATTCGGTGAGCCGGGCTACTATTGTTCGAGAGTGGACAATCCTACGGGATGGATTCAATACAGGTTCGCTACGACAACGTCGGTCTCTGCATATGAAGTGGAATCTGTGAGCAATTATGGGGGCGCGTATAATCCCGTGTCGTGGACATTCCTGGGAAGCGACAACGGTTGGGCTTGGACAACTTTGGATAGCCAGACAGGTCAGTCGTTTTCTGAGGATGGCGAGTCAAAGCACTTCGTTGTGGGTGGAACACCGAGCCCGACTCCAGCACCTGCACTACTTCCGACGCCGAGTCCAACTCCCGCGACTTCATCACCAACGCCGAGCCCGACTCCGGTACCTTCACCACTTCCAACGCCGAGTCCAACTCTGGCGACTGCATCACCAACGCCGAGCCCAACTCCAGCGCCTTCACCACTTCCAACGCCGAGTCCCACTCTGGCGACTTCATCACCAATGCCGAGCCCGACTCCAGCACCGTCACCACCTGGACCCTCCTATCTGTATTACCGCTTCGACGTGCATTCAAACTCTTTCAACTCGTATTGGTGCATCGATGAGCTCAAGTTCTACGGACCTGATGGCGGTCTCATCCCCGTCGAACCCAGCCGAGGCGGTGCGCAAACGCAGTACAGTGCAAGCTTCGGAGCAGGTAAAGCATTCGGTGAGCCGGGCTACTATTGTTCGAGAGTGGACAATCCTACGGGATGGATTCAATACAGGTTCGCCTACGACAACGTCGGTCTCTGCATATGAAGTGGAATCTGTGAGCAATTATGGGGGCGCGTATAATCCCGTGTCGTGGACATTCCTTGGGAGCGACAACGGTTGGGCTTGGACAACTTTGGATAGCCAGACAGGTCAGTCGTTTTATGAGGATGGCGAGTCAAAGCACTTCGTTGTGGGTGGAACACCGAGCCCGACTCCAGTACCTTCACTACTTCCAACGCCGAGTCCAACTCCCGCGACTTCATCACCAACGCCGAGCCCGACTCCGGCACCTTCACCATTTCCAACATTTGCTCCGATCCCAGAACCGACTCCGGCTCCAACGCCAGGTCCACCATCAATGACGGCGCCAGTATCGACTATCTTGACGTCACCAGTAGCAGCAGGAGAGACTGAGTTGCCGGTAGAGTCCACGGTGGGTTTCGGCGTCGGCAACATAATTTCGATTCAGGGCGGAGGCAATATCGAGACGGGAATCATTGCAAGTATCGGGTCGATTGTGTTGACCATTGGCTTGGCACACAGCTACCCGGCTAACTCCACCGTAAGTTCAGCTCTGGAGACTTCATCACCAATGCTGAGCCCGACCCCAGCACCTTCACCAAGTGGATTTTCCTATCTAGTGGCCTTGGGCTCATTTCGCCACTGTGCCTGGGTTGTGGGTCAGCGGCCTCGTGGATGCTTCTTGGGGTCTCCTCGGAGGGCTCTCGGGGATGCTTGGGCGGTTTTGAGGCCTCCTGGCAGCCTGGTGGGAGCTTCTTGGGTGCCTCTTAGGGGTTTCCTGGTGGCCTCTTGGGGGCTTCTTGGGGCCTCCTGGGGGATTCTTGGGGGCCGGCCTCTCTTGGGGCCTCCCGAAGGCCTCTCGGGGAGGTGAGCTCGAACTGTCGGTTTGTGTTCCCTCTCTGCATGCGTTCCGTGCCACCCAGTACGGCGTTTCGGTGGAAGCTGCACCAAATGCCCCAGTGACTGTGTTCACATGCGTTCCACGCCACCCAGTACAGCGTTTCGCGGCCCCATTGGAAGCTGCACCGAATGCCCCAGTGGCTGTGTGCACACGGCGTTTCGTGGCCCCATAAGGAGCTGCACCCAAGTTCCCACTGACTGTGATCACATGCGTCCCGCGCCACCCAGCATGACGTTGTGTGGCCCCATAGGGAACTGCACCGAAGGCCCCAGTGGCTGTGTTCACATGCGCCCTGCGCCACCCAGTACGGCGTTTCGTGGCCCCATCGGGAGCTCCACTGAAGGCCCCACTGGCTGGGATCACATGCGTCCCCTTCGTGGCCCCAGGGAGCTCCGCCGAAGGCCCCAGTGGCGATGTTCGCATGCGCCCCCCCGCCCATTTCGGCATACCCCTCACACGTTTCGTGGCTCCATAGAAAGCTCCACCGAATGCCGCAGTGGCGAGGTTCGCATGGCGGCCCCGCTCCATTTCGGCACACCCCTTACACGTTTCGTGGCCCCATATGGAGCGCCACCGAAGACCCCAATGGCTGCGGCCGCATGCGTCCCCGCCCCATTTCGGCACGCCCTTGAAACGCTTCTGTATGTAGCCTCAGCAAGAGATCCACCGAAGGCGATGCCCACACTGGCGATATCCACAACTGCATACGGTTGGGCCCTTCGCCAGGATGATTTAGGCCATCTGGGATATCTTGAGACATCTTGTAGGTCTTCAGCTCTCTGAGGCCATCTTGAGCTATCTTTGGCGCTCTCACCGCTCGCCGCCCCACCCGTCCAGACACCGGGGGATGGGGTGGGGGGAGGGGTCAAGTTACCCCCTCCCCGCCCGCAAGCCGTCTCGCTCACTCCCACCCGCCCTCCCAACACATACGTAGCACCCGAGTCTGGCCCGAGCCTCAGCATATTCAGCAGTCGTCTTTGGATGGGCAGCTACTGGGGGCCGATCCGCCGCCGCCGCCGCCGCCTCCGCCGCCGCCGCCGCCGCGCCCGCCGCCGCCGCTGCCCGCCGCCGCCGCCCCCGCCGCGCCGCCGCCGCCGCCGCCGCCTGCCGCCGCCGCCGCCCTGCCGCCGCCGCCGCGGCCGCCGCCGCCGCCGCCGCCGCCGCCGCCGCCCCCCGCTGCCTAACCGCCGCCGCCGCGCAGCGCTGCCGCCACCGCCGCCACCGCCGCCGCCGCCGCCGCCGCCGCCGCCGCCCCCGCCCCCGCCGCCGCCGCCGCCGCAGCCGCCGCAGCCGCCGCCGCCGCCGCCACAGCCGCCGCAGCCGCCGCCGCCGCCAAGTGTACTCTGTATTGTTTTTTGACAGGGATGGTGGGGTGGGGGGCCGCATCGGGTTGGCTGCGCATGTTCCGAATTTGGAGGCAAAGTGTGTTTTGTATGGTTTTTTACAAAGGGATGGTGGGGGGGGGTGTCGACATGGACTCGGGTTGGCCCCCAGTCGCCTGGGGGAGGGGGTGTTTATTAATAGGGAGCAGTGATCAAGACACCCGCAAGCCGTCTCGCTCACTCGCACCCGCCCCTCCAACACAGAAGTAGCACCCGAGCCGCAGCGCGTTCAGCGGCAGTCTTTGGATGGACAGCTAGTCAATGGGAACCAAACTAGTCCATATGTGCGCAACGCCGCGGCGAGGTGCGCCAGGCGTGCTAGGCGCGCTACGCGCGCCAGGTGAGCAAAACACACATGTGGCCGAAGCGAGCCAGGCACGCCTGGTGCGCCAGATGCGTGCGCCACGTGATCCACGTGCGCCATGTGTGCCGCAAGCTCCAGCCGCGCCAGGTGCACCACGTACGGGGCACGCGCAGAGTGGGCCAGGTGTGCCTGCGCACGTGGCAGCACACGTCGAGAAACGTGTCGGCCCCCATCCTTGTCGAAAACTAGTGCGCAATCGCGGCGGGGTGGCCATCTTAGCGTCTGGTGGGCCTTACACAGCAGGCAATACCCCCGCCGTCCCAGTCAAAAACCAGTGCACAGTGATCGCGAGGTACCCGCGCATGATCCAGATTTTGTTGCACAGTGAATTTTGTATCGAAGACGCCTTCGGCGAATCACTGCCGCCCCCTGCCTTTTGGAATCGCCTATGCGGCCGAACGTCTCGGCCAGAGCTCTGCCAAGCTATCCGACCATGTGTTCCCCCAGCCGTTGTGGAGCATCTTCGGGGAACACGCGGAGGAAAAAGAAGAAGCGGAGGCGAGGGATGGCACATGGAGATGATGATGATGATGATGATGATGATGATGATGATGATGATGATGATGATGATGATGATGCTGATGATGATGATGATGATGTGGTGGTGATGGCGATGGATGGTGATGGTGCTGATGCTGATGATGACGATGATGATGATGACGATGACGATGAGATGACGACGATGATGATGGTGATGATGATGATGATGATGATGGATGATGATGATGATGATGATGATGGTGATGATGATGATGATGAATGATGTGATGAGGATGAGGATGATGATGATGATGATGATGATGATGATGATGATGATGATGATGATGATTATGATGATGATGACGATATGATGATGATGATGATGATGATGTGGATGATGATGATGATGTGATGATCATGATGATGATGATGATGATGATGATGATGATGATGATGCTGATGATGATGACTGATGATGATGATGATGATGATGATGATGATGATGATGATGATGATGATGATGATGATGATGATGATGATGATGATGATGATGATGATGATGATGATGATGATGATGATGATGATGATGATGATGATGATGATGAGGAAGAGGAGGACGAAGAGGAGGCGCAGGAGGCTGAGGAGGAGGAGGAGGAGAACTCTTGGGGCCTTCTGGGAGTTTCTTGTGGGCCTCTCGGAGGCCTCTTGGAAGCCCCCTTGGGCCTCTTGGGGGCCTTTTGGGGACTCATTGGGGACCTCTTTGGCCGTCTTAGGGCGTTCCTGACCTGTCTGACGCCGTCGAAAGCCGTCGTGGGGGCCTCTCTGGATCGACTTGGGGCCCTCTTGGAGGCTTCTTTGGCTGTTTTGGAGAATCTTTGGGGCCTCTTGGGCTGTCTTGGAGCGGGGAAAGCCGACAAGGCGAAATCGCCCAAATCCGTCAAAGACCAAAAGGAAAATCCATGATTTGGCCTCTTGGGGCCTCCTTGGGAGGCCTCTTCGAGGCCTCTTGGGGCGTCTTGGAGGCCTCTTGGGCCGATGTGTGAGGTTGTCATGGGCGTCTTGAGCCGATCTTTGGGCGTCTCGGGACCCTCTTGGGCCGTCTTGGAGGCCGCTCGGGGCCCTCTTGGCCCGTCTTGGGGTCATCTTGGGCCCCGAACAGTCAGGCGACAAGATGCGCCGGAACCCAGGGGCACGCGCCAAGCCTCAGGAGAATCTGGGCCCCTTGAAGACTCCTCAGTAGTGAGAACTGAGGTTCCAGGGAGTAGACAAATTACCTGAGGACTCGCCCACTCCGTGCAGGGAGGCACGGCAGCAGATCTTTATTACCGCTTCGACGTGCATTCAAACTCTTTCAACTCGTATTGGTGCATCGATGAGCTCAAGTTCTACGGACCTGATGGCGGTCTCATCCCCGTCGAACCCAGCCGAGGCGGTGCGCAAACGCAGTACAGTGCAAGCTTCGGAGCAGGTAAAGCATTCGGTGAGCCGGGCTACTATTGTTCGAGAGTGGACAATCCTACGGGATGGATTCAATACAGGTTCGCTACGACAACGTCGGTCTCTGCATATGAAGTGGAATCTGTGAGCAATTATGGGGGCGCGTATAATCCCGTGTCGTGGACATTCCTGGGAAGCGACAACGGTTGGGCTTGGACAACTTTGGATAGCCAGACAGGTCAGTCGTTTTCTGAGGATGGCGAGTCAAAGCATTTCGTGGTGGGTGCAACACCGAGCCCGACTCCAGCACCTCCACCACTTCCAACGCCGAGTCCAACTCCCGCGACTTCATCACCAACGCCGAGCCCGACTCCGGTACCTTCACCACTTCCAACGCCGAGTCCAACTCTGGCGACTGCATCACCAACGCCGAGCCCAACTCCAGCGCCTTCACCACTTCCAACGCCGAGTCCCACTCTGGCGACTTCATCACCAATGCCGAGCCCGACTCCAGCACCTTCACCACCTGGACCCTCCTATCCGTAAGGGCTTCGCCCCCTGCCGCCGGCCCCCTCTCTCGGAGAATGGGCCATGGAAGAGCTAAGTCATGAGGCTTTGGCGCTGTCGTGCAGCAGTATCGGAACTTCATGCGAGGCCGATTCGCAATCGGCAAAACCAACTGATCACAAGAGGGGTTACCACACAGGGCGATTGGTAAGACGTGTATGGTTTACGAGCTTGGTTACCACACCTTGGGATTAAAGGGCCGAGGGAGTACTCGCAGTTTGGGTTGCCACGCCTTGCGATGGATGTGCGTGAGGGGTGGCACCGAATTTCAGAAATGTGGCAAATCCCATGTGTTTTTGGACCCTGACCCCGCGGATCTGCGTGAGGGGTGGCACCGAATTTCAGAAATGTGGCAAATCCCTGTGTTTTTGGACCCTGACCCCGCGGATCTGCGTGAGGGGTGGCACCGAATTTCAGAAATGTGGCAAATCCCATGTGTTTTTGGACCCTGACCCCGCGGATCTGCGTGAGGGGTGGCACCGAATTTTGAGAAATGTAGCAAATCCCATATGTTTTTGGACCCTGACCCCGCGGATCTGCGTGAGGGGTGGCACCGAATTTCAGAAATGTGGCAAATCCCCTGTGTTTTTGGACCCTGGCCCCGCGGATCTGCGTGAGGGGTGGCGCCGAATTTCAAAAATGTAGCAAATCCCGTGTGTTTTTGGACCCTGACCCCGCGGATCTGCGTGAGGGGTGGCACCGAATTTCAGAAATGTGGCAAATCCGCTGTGCTTTTGGACCCTGACCCCGCGGATCTGCGTGAGGGGTGTCGATTTCGAGTCCCCCCAGCAATTCAGACAGCGCGCTCAGGGGGCGCTAAAAGTCTTGTTTGGGCCTCCCCCCCCCTCGCGCGGTCAATCAACTAGTTACAGTAACCAGCAAGAAGTCAACTAGTTACAGTAACCAGCAAGAAGCAGAACTGTAACACTGGAAACTACAAGCTACATCTGGTACAGGAAACTGCGAACCCGCGCCTACAGCCTGGTGGTCCCGCAAGGGGGCCGGCGGATCTGTATTACCGCTTCGACGTGCATTCAAACTCTTTTGACTCGTATTGGTGCATAGATGAGCTCAAGTTCTACGGACCTGACGGCGGTCTCATCCCCGTCGAACCCAGCCGAGGCGGTGCGCAATCGCAGTACAGTGCATACTTCGGAGCAGGTAAAGCATTCGATGAACCGGGCTACTATTGTTCGAGAGTGGACAATCCTACGGGATGGATTCAATACAGGTTCGCTGCTGCAACGTCGGTCTCTGCATATGAAGTGGAATCTGTGAGCAATTATGGGGGCGCGTATAATCCCGCGTCGTGGACATTCCTGGGTAGCGACAACGGTTGGGCTTGGACAACTTTGGATAGCCAGACAGGTCAATCGTTTTCTGAGGATGGCGAGTCAAAGAATTTCGTGGTGGGTGCAACACCGAGCCCGACTCCAGCACCTTCACCACTTCCAACGCCGAGTCCAACTCCCGCGACTTCATCGCCAACGCCGAGCCCGACTCCGGCACCTTCACCACTTCCAACGCCGAGTCCAAATCTGGCGACTTCATCACCAATGCCGAGCCCGACTCCAGCACCTTCACCACCTGGACCCTCCTATCTGTATTACCGCTTCGACGTGCATTCAAACTCTTTTGACTCGTATTGGTGCATAGATGAGCTCAAGTTCTACGGACCTGACGGCGGTCTCATCCCCGTCGAACCCAGCCGAGGCGGTGCGCAATCGCAGTACAGTGCATACTTCGGAGCAGGTAAAGCATTCGATGAACCGGGCTACTATTGTTCGAGAGTGGACAATCCTACGGGATGGATTCAATACAGGTTCGCTACTGCAACGTCGGTCTCTGCATATGAAGTGGAATCTGTGAGCAATTATGGGGGCGCGTATAATCCCGTGTCGTGGACATTCCTGGGTAGCGACAACGGTTGGGCTTGGACAACTTTGGATAGCCAGACAGGTCAGTCGTTTTCTGAGGATGGCGAGTCAAAGCATTTCGTGGTGGGAGCAACACCGAGCCCGACTCCAGCACCTTCACCACTTCCAACGCCGAGTCCAACTCCCGCGACTTCATCACCAACGCCGAGCCCGACTCCGGCACCTTCACCACTTCCAACGCCGAGTCCAACTCTGGCGACTTCATCACCAACACCGAGCCCGACTCCAGCACCTTCACCACTTCCAACGCCGAGTCCAACTCCCGCGACTTCATCGCCAACGCCGAGCCCGACTCCGGCACCTTCACCACTTCCAACGCCGAGTCCAACTCCATCACCAACGCCGAGCGCGACTCCGGCACCAGCTCCAACGCCTGCGCCAACAGTTTTGACGTCACCAGTAGCAGCAGGTGAGACTGAGTTGCCTGTAGAGTCCACGGTGGGTTACGGCGTCGGCGATGTCATTTTGATTCAGGGTGGAGGCAATAGCGAGACGGGGATCATTGCAAGCATCGGGTCGATGGTGTTGACCGCCGGTTTGGCAAACAGCTACCCGGCTAATTCTTGGCGCTTCGCGTATTCCCACCAGCCCATCCAGAAACGATGCCCATGAGAGCTGACGGGGGGAGAGAGGAAGAGACACGCATAGTCAAACAGGCCTCGGAAGGCCATCGAAAACAAAAAGGCGAGAAGGTCAAATTCATTTATTTTCTTTTAGGTTTTTGAAGGATGTTGGCCTCTTGGCGGCCTCCAGGGGAGGATCCGTGGCCGTCTTGAGTCGTCTTGGAGCGGTCTTGGGGCCTCTTGGGGCATCTTGGGGCCATCTTAAGCCAGCTCGGTCCATCTTGAGCCATCCTGGAGGTCATCTTAGGCTCTCTGAGGCCGCTTTGGTGCCACTCGGGAGCGGGCCCCTCGGGGGCCTCTTGGAGCCCTCTTGGGGCCCCTTGGGGCGCTCGTGGGCCCTCTTGGGGGCTGTTGGGAGCCCTGGAGGGCTTCTTGGGGCCATCTTGGAGGCGGTCGGTCAAAAGAAGAGGGTCCTCGATGTTCGTCCCCCCCCCTCGGGGGCCACGATCCTCGTGAGGGGTGTCAAAAATTGGCCCTCCCGCTGGCCGAAAAAGGAGCCTCCGACACTTCGCGAAACCTTGCAACAAAACCTCAGGGAAGGGGGGCCTCCCCGAAGGGAAGAGGAGCTGTGGAAGAGGAAAGAGGCCCTCCTCAGACCACCTGTCGCCCAGAGGGCTGGTGGGATTCCACCGTGAGCTCAGCTCCGGAGGCTTCAGCACCAACGCCGAGCCCGACTGGGGCGCCAAGTCCGCCGAGCACGGCAGTCGGAGACCCCCACGTCACGAACCTGATCGGGGACTCGTTCGACGTCAATCAGCCTGGCGAGCACGTCCTCCTACGCCTTCCGATTGATGAGAGCGTTCCCCCCCAGTTCGAGCTCCGGGCCATGATGAGGCCAGCGCCTGCATCGCCCTGCGGATTATGGATAACGGAGGTAATCCTTGGAGGTGAGTGGGTTGGCGCCGGCGAGATCCGTGTGCACACCTCGACGGTCGCAGCCACTGGGAATACGTCCGACCGTTTCGCCCTGCTCTCGGGGTTGGGAGGTTCTCCGGCCGCGCCAGTGTGGAAACCGTGGGCCGATTTCGGCAAGGACGTGAATGTGGCGTTGTCCAGCTGCGTGACAGTCAGGTCAACCTTCCAGGCCTTCCAGGGCGCTGTTGCCGTGAGGAACAGGAGGACGTTCGAGTTCCTCGTCGGGCCGGCCCCCGCTCTGGATCAACGCTTCTCGATCGTCGTTGCGCAGATGGCGCGCCGCGCGGCGTTGGACGTGCAGGCAACGTGTCTCGGCCGGCTTCGGGGGTCCGCCCGCTTCGGGGGCCTCCTCGGCACCGAGAAGCCCGACCCCGCGGTGGAGGAGCTCTCCAAGGAGTGCGCCGCGCATCAGAGGAACAGCAGCACGACCAGAGCCAGAGGGACCTGGCGGGACCTGGAGGCTGACTCGGTGCACGTGCAGCTGTACCAGTTTTCGGGCCGCGTGGCATCAAGCAGGCTGAGCGCATCGTGGTGAGTGGCTTTCACCGCGCCGTAGTTAATTCCAGTGAATTTATAATCAATCATATTTGGGCCTTCGAGCCGCTTAGGGGGTCTGAGGTGGCCCAGCACTGGTTCTAGCGAGCAGGAAGGCGGCAGGTTCGAGGTGCTGGGCCGGGCACTTTTCTTAAACATTATGTTTCGACCTTCCGGGGAAGCTTTCGGGCCCCGCGACCGTGGAAAACGCATGCGGGGTGAGAAGCTGCGCCAGATGGACCCTGGGAGGGGCCTGCGGACTGATTTCGAGCGGACTCGGCCTCCTCCCCCCTCCTGTCAGATTTTCTGGTGCCCCAGCCTCTTCAGAGCCCCCAGTCGTGCCCGCGCTTTGAATTTCTTAACATGTTCGGGGCATTATCGTGCTTTCGAGCCCTTCTGGGCGCCGAAGCTTGCCCCTTGAATCGGATATGAGGGCTGCCCAAGAGGCTCGGCATCTTTTTCTTGCTTTTGGCGGTTGTTTGTGCCGCCTGCACGCCCTCCTGTGCTCAGCTGCGTTCTTGCTCTGATGGACACTGCGCAGGCCTGAGGAACGATGCCGGCCTTCCCTTGCTGACCTCACGCAAAGCCGAGCCATATCGCGCACCTCTAGTTTGGCAACGCGCGCGCGTCAGCCCCCCCGCCCCCCCGCCGCATCGCATCGCACCGCCAGGCCACGGATTTCCAGGTACCGTCCCAAACGATGTTGGGCATCGTGCCAGGATAGCTTCGCACCATGCTGGGGAAACTTGGCTTGCACTAGACTGTGTCGGAATCGTGCTGGAATAGTTTGGTAAGCTATTGGGGGAATTTGTTACTGTACCAAGAGTGGTTGGTACGATACCAAATCTGCGCTTGTGTCATTATTCTGCGCATGCAGGCCAGGCGGGAATGCATGGTGTTATACCAAAAAACATTTGATGCCATACTACATGTTCCCTACCTAGGCTCTGTCTAGAAGGGTTCTTACTCTCTTGGCTTAAAGGGCCGGGCAGTGGGAACCGGCCCGGGCGGTTCCCCCAGTATCCGCCCCGCGGTTCCCCCAGTTACGTCCCCTTAGCTTAGCGTTGCTTATCTCATCTTAGCTGAGCTTATTTCATCTTAGCTTAGCTTAGCTTCATCTTATCTCAGGTTTATCTTAGCTTAGATTACCTTCATCTCAGCTTCGCTGAGCTTTAGCATAGCAGAGCACAGCATATCATAGCATAGCGTAGCATAGCACAGCGCAGCATAGCATATCATAACATAGCCCAGCATAGCATAGCATAGCGCAGCATAGCATAGCATAGCGCAGCACAGCACAGCATTAGCATGGGTGTAATTCCCTACCTAGGCTCTGCCTGGAGGGTTAGCTTAGCTTAGCTTAGCTTAGCACAGCGCAGCGCTGCATTAGCATAGCATAGCATAGCATAATCTAGCCAAACATAACACAGCATAGCATAGCATAGCGCAGCTTAGCATATCATAACATAGCACATCATATCACATCATTGCATATCATAGCATAGCACAGCATAGCTCAGCTTAGCATAGCACGTCATAGCATATCATAGCTTAGCATAGCACAGCGCAGCATGCCATAGCATAGCTTTGCATAGCATAACACAGCATATCATAGCATAGCATATCATAGCATATCATAGCATAGCATAGCATAGCGCAGCTATGGCATAGCATAGCATACCACATAATAACATAGCAACTATGCTGCTTTCCTAGGGGCTCTAACTTCTAGGTAGGGTCGCACTGGGGTATTTTTTGTATTGCACCAACGCGTCTCGTGCGAGATTTGGCGTCGTTCAGGAGAGTTTGACAGTGGGGCTCGCACGTCATTTGGCGTTTTTCGAGACTTTGGAATTCTGGGCTGGCCAGTGCGAAGGGGCGAGAGGCGCGCCAGAGTGGGGAAGATTGGCGGGCACGCGGATCGTTTGCTGGCGTACGAGGTCATGGTCGTGTTCCCCGCGGGCAAGTTGGTACTGACGAGTTCTTATTTGGAAGCAATGGTTGTCAAAAGCGAGGGATGTAATCCCGCCTCTTAGATCTGGCGCCCACGCTCGGTATCGTTCAATCGATCCCCATCCTCATCCCCATCCCCTTCGAGACCCCCGCCAAATTACCACCCCCGTTGGGGATGCACCCCTCGAAACCCGAAGATACTGGCCTATATATCCATCTAGGGGGGTAAACCCGCCAGTGGGGGCCAGGCCACGCCGCTGGGGATGGGGATCGGTTAAGCGATGCTCACACGCGTCAGATCCACGGAACCACAATCCATGTCCGCGTGTACCCGAAGAGGCCAACAGGGGAGAGGTTGGGGCAATGTCGGGGGTGGTGGTGCTTCGTTTGTTCGTCGGAAGGTTGTTAGACATTTTCAAGGCCTGGTGTATTCTCCCATCAGCCGCGCCTCGTCGAGAGCGTTCTGGAAATGTCGGGGTTGCCTCGAATGGCCGCCGGAGGCCGATCGATGACCCAGACTCGAAAGCCAGGGGTCAACGTTGAGGGGTGGCATAATTCGGACGTTTCGCGTATTCCCACCAGCCCTTCCCGCGGCGGCCGTGGTGGCCATGTCGGAAGGGCCCGTCGGACAGGCAGCGCTGAAGTCTCCACCCCACGGGCCGACCTACAGCGATGTCAGCGGTTCGGCATCGGTGGACCTCTTCTCGGCAGGACGGCACAGTGGCGCTTGGGCAGTCGCTGGCTTCCACCGGCGCTGGGAGTTGTGTGTCCGAGGGCCTTGCTCTGAGTGTTGCAGCCTCTGTACAGCCTGTGTCTCGCGCATCGTTGCGTCCACCCTTGGGCTTGGTGCCGTTGGCCCCCCTAGCTGAGTGGAGGATTCCGAGGGCTGAGCGCTGAGTGGTTCAGCCTTCCGCGCTCGCTTTGCTTTCCACCGCGGGCAGCCCGGCTTCCCGGGTACTTGTTTCCCAGCCAGCCGGGCCGGCGGCTTGGAATTTGGCGCCGCACCGGCGACTTACTCCGCTGCACTCGCACCCGCTGCCGCTTGTTCACTTTGGTTGACAGTGCGGCGCCTATGTGCGTCTGCTGGTGAACTTCGATCATCTTGTTCCGTGCATGTGCAACTGCGCGCTTGTTGTGCAGGTGCGAACCGGCTTGCCAACGTGGCGGTTGTGTTCGCAAGCTCGCACCGTGCCGCCTGCCCCGGACTTTGCCCCTCGCCGCCAGACCGTTGTCGCGCGGCCGCAGGCCATAAACGTATTCCCGCCAGCCCCGTAGCCACCCTGGCTCAAGGCGTCTCGACGGGACCCCCGTCTCCCGAGGGGGCGCCGGACGCGGCTCCGATCCCCGGGGCCGCGGCTGCCGCGCGGGGGCCGCGCCGCCGTCGACCCCCCTTGCGCCGCCGCCTGGCGGCGCCCCCTTCCAGTCGCGACTGGCTTAGCGGACGGGCGAGATGGAAGATCGGCCTCCGGGGGATCCCGGTACAAGTGGGGAGTTTGCAAAGCGAGTGCAGGGCCTGGGGGCCTCGACGCTGCCGGGAAACGCCTCTGTCCCGGGGCCCGACGGGACCGTCGACCATGCCCGACCCGCACGGGGGAATAGTGCTACGGGTCGGCTCGAGGTTCAGCAGCCCCCGCCCCCGGTCGAACAGGCACCCGATGCCGATCCGCCTTCGGGCTCTGGTAGCCTGATCTGCCCACCGCGCCCGCTCCACGCCGCTGCAGCTGTCTGCTGCACCGGGGTGGAACGGCAGGTGGGTCCAGCCATCGATGAGGATCGAACGCAAGGATCGGACCTTGATCATCTCATCGACACTGCGGCTGTTAGGTGCACCCCTGCCGAGCAACAGCATGTTTCAGGCGAAGCCAACCCCCACCATTCTGCGGCTGTTAGCTGCGCCCGAGCAGAGGGCCAGTGTGTCTCAGGCGAAGCAATCTCCCACCACCCCTCGGCTGTTAGCTGCACCCCCGCAAAGCGTCATAATGTCTCAGGTGAAACTATTTCCCACCATTCTGCGGCTGTTAGCTGCACCCCAGCAGGGCATCGACACGTTTCAGGCGAAAACACTACCCAACATCCCGCGGCTGTTATCTGCACCCCGGCCGACCATGCAGACGCGACCCGTGCCCACCAGTCCGCGGTAGCTACCTACGCCCCTGCAGAGCATCAGCATGTCTCAGGCGAAACGATTTCCCACCGTCCTGCGGCTGTTACCTCCAACCCACCAGGGCATCGACGTGTCTCAGGCGGAACCATTATCCTGCGGCTGCTAGCCGACCCCGAGCCACGCCTGACGGCATCTCGGGTCCTTGTTACCTGGAAGACGATGATTTCTCCCACCCTGCCCCTGTCCCACCCAGCCTGGGTCACGAGGGGGAACGACGCCGCCCCTCCCGCAGGAGGGGCAAACGCCGCCGGAGACGGGCGCACCAGGTCCCGCAGCATCACCGCCGCGCGAGGGACCTTCACGCAGGACAGAGATTTTGTTGGAGGTGCCTCCAGCGGGGGGGCGCAGCCGAGCCATGGGGTCTCTCCACTGACCCACGACAGCGGCAGACTGTCTCCCCCCCTGGCCTCGGAGTCGGCGAACCCAGGCCGACCAGATGGGGCGAGGATCCCGAGGCGGTGCCGAGCGAATCGCGATGGGGGTCCATCCCTCCTCATCCTCCCACGACCTCCTTCCCCTACCCTCTGCGCCGCGGCTCAAACCTCAACCTCGCCGCAGGGGGCGCGTCGCCAAATCGACGCATCCCCAGTCCTGGGGGGCGCCTCGAGGCCGCGACGCAACAAGGACTCTCGTCTCTCCTGCCTGCAGGCGGGAAGCAGGCCCCAGACCCCCTGCGCCGACTGCAGGCGAGCAGGGCGAGGGGGCAACTCCAGACGAGCCGGGGACAGCCGCGAGACGGGCAGACCCCCCTCGAGATCACCGCGAGACCCGGCCACGGACGGCCCGCGCGCCCAAGACCCACGCAGAACAGGACGCGGGGGTCCCCTACAGGACCCGCGGGAATCAGCCGAACGAGCTCGCGGACCCTAGCTGGGCGGAGGGTGGGCCCGGGTCGCGCTCGGGCCAGCAGCGCAACCTCGATATCTTCCCCCGCGACGCCCTGGCGCGCCACCGGCCTCTTCACGCCCCAGGCGGCCCAGGAGGTCCACTTGGCGATGGCGGACAGGACTTCGACCTCGACGAGGGCCCCCGCGCGCGGCACGTGGCCAGCGCCCCCTGCCAGCTCGACGTCGCAGGGCTCGCCAGGTAAGCCCGCGGCTGCGACTTCGAAGCCAGGTTTGGTGGAGTCAGACCTCGCCGCGCACAACTGCTTGTATTCCGACTCCTGGCCATCCTATTCGATCAACGGCTACGCGATCCAGACAGCGACAACCCTCCCCGTCTGACCTGTATGACGATGGCTCCTCCGCCGAGGTAGAGGCTGCCACTGCAGAGTACTTTCTCATGGTACAGGCGGCGGTCTACTGCGGCTTTCTGCCCGCTCAACGGTAGATTGAGGACCGAATTGACCCCGTTTCACCCATGGGGGTCTTTCCACCGTCCGCCTCCCGCTTCTACCGGTGCGTCGACCCGTGGGGCCCAGGTGCCGTGGCCCGGGCCACTAGCGTGCTATGCGGGGGCCGCCAAGCCGACAGCGGCGCCGACAGCAGCTCGGACGGTTGCGGTGACTACGGCCCCGACAGCCTCGCCGACAGTGGCGTCGACAGCGACGCCAACAGCCCGTCCGACTACGGCGCCGGCAGCAGCGCCGGCCGCGGAACCGACAGTCACGCCGACAGTGGTGCCAGTAACGGCGCCGACGCGGGCGCCAGCGGCTGCGCCAACACTACCATCGGCAGC